TCCCACCCTCCCTCTCTCTCTGCTAAAATAAATTAATTATAGTAACACAAGATAGACATACCACCCAAGAAAAAAGACATACTACCCGAGATGATCAGTAAGTAGGCTAGGCCTAGCAGCAGCCTTGCATTGTAACCAATGTAAACTACCACTCGCTCAGCGAGCCAATCACAATCCAACATTTTTGGGGTCCACCTAGACACCATGACTACGTAGACCCCAATCGGGGAGTACGTAGACACTTCCAATGATTTTTGTGTTCTTCTGTTTATGGAGGATAAGTAAATGATGCTTCTTTAGTGTGATGACCTCATGTTGACATGAAAACATCTGGCCTGCGGATGTATACAGATGTAAGTCATTCTTGGCAAGTTTTGAGATATGTCTGTATGCAATGCTGCCCGCGAGTACTCAGGGCTGCTGTCTTTATGAGCAAATGGAATGGAAAGTTGGTATTATATTAGCCAGTAGCAGAGCTTTTCCAGTTTCATGTAGGTGTTTTTTAATGCCCCCATCAACACAATTTAGATCTTTAACGGGTTAGGCCTTGATCCTGTCTTTCCTGGACTGAGAGGAATACAACTTCCCAGTTGAAAGATGGAGACACTTGATAAAAATTCTCCCCACAGGGGAATTGAACCGTGGTCTTCAGCATGCGCTGGTGCAGCGTCCAACGGTTGTTCCTCAGATGCTAGTGCTTTGTCAGTTCATTTGCTGATATAATTAAAAACATTTGCTTGAAAGGTATTCCAATTTAAAGAGGTAAATATGGTAATTGATGGAGCATTGTTGAAAAGGAAGAGTTGTCTCTTTTGTTACTTTGGATCCATTTTTATGGTCAGGGTTGATGACTTGGTCTTTTTTAGAGGAGTTTTGTATCCTTGTTGGGTTCAAATGGCGGAACTCGAGTACGAGATTTAACCTCTTTGCCTTTGTTGCTATTTTGGTCCCCCTTCCGTCTGTCGCAGTTGCTCAACAAAGAGCGCAAGTTTGACAAGTTTGACATGGGAGATCCTGATCTGGAGCCGGTGAGGAGCTACGAGAACAGGACTCTGGTGCGACTGCTTTTTCACATCTGTGTGGTCATCAACTTTTATGTAAGTATACGGCATGCGATATCAGTCAACTCTTTTAACGAGAATATGGGTGGTTGGCGGGTTCTCTCGTGTGGTTTGCTCCTTCTTTCTCATCTAACGTCTATTGTCTTTGTCTCTCATCCTTTTTTGTGTGTTTGTAACTCTCTTGTGACACTTCATTTTCAGCACTAATATGGCCTAATTGTGTTGCAAGTACTGTAAAACTCTTACAAAAAATAAAATGTATATATGTAAGTGAATGCATCAAGTAACATCAGCTCTTATGAAAAATGTGGCTAGTAACATTAAGTCTTATGCAAGTGTGTATAGGGAGAAGAAATCAACTTGCTAAGTATAAGTATAAGACTCTTCTAAACGCCATTTAAAAAAGTGATGTATGACGAAATCTTATACTGAGCTGTCAAGATGAGCTTTGCGCCTGTGGTGCAGCGTTTATGCTCTCAACCACTGCAGACAGAAGCCATGTGTCTGTTTGCCAGGTGGGGATTTAAAAAAAACAGATTTTCTGAACATCTTAACTATATCATATCTCTGCTTAATTATAGCTTAAAAGAATAAAAAATTAAAAGGTTTTAATGTAGAAATGCTTTTTACCTCGCCTGAAAAATTTGCCTGTTACCGGCATGGGGCCGTTTTTCCTTACGACTGCAGAGCTGCCAGCCAGTAAGCAAAAAATGTATTTCATACATCTTTGGGGTCTGAGGAGGGAAGTCCATTTTGTATCAGAAAATGTGTATTCTCTGTTTTATAGTATTGCTCATGTGGTATCAGCTCATCAAAGAATTATTGGTGCGAAAGAAAAGGTATGAACTTTCAAGGCCGGATTTTCAAATAATAATGCAAACGAAGCCCATAAATTAAATTAAATGGAGAGATCTTTTGCTTCAGATCAATCATACTTTGAGCAGTGTGAATTTATTGAATGCAGAAAAGAGAGTGTGAAGTTTCAAAACAGTGTATTTTTGGCCAGTGTGCACCATCTTGACTGGCCATAATATTATAGGTACATTCTGATTTGTATCTGGTCTGTGCCTCGTAAATACATTCTAATGATATTTTACAGTAATGACTTTTTTGGGGATAATTGCGCAGAAGGGAGTCTTCCAACTTTTAAGAGACATTTTCCTGCTGTTCAGTGATATTTCTACTATTTTACGAGCTCTTTGCTTGCTTCAGGTGAAATTTACGTACTGATAAGTGACATTTGACCTCTCCTGCCAGGTATTCAGTCTGAATTTAATCTTCTCACTTTTTGTTCACCAGACTCATCATGCTCTCAGAGAGTGGATGGTTGGTGGGTGCTCTGGTGTGGTTTGCTCCTTCTTTCCTATCAAACATATGTTGTCCTTATCTTCAGTTTTATGTATGTTACCCTCTGGTAACACCTCTAATCTTCAGCACTTTTATGATTTTATTGTGTTGGAAGTGCCGTAAAACTGGTACTAAAACTAAAACATGCTCCCAGAGTTGGATGAGCCTGTGACTTATTTCAGTAATTTTTTTTTTCTTTTATCCTCAGTTTAGAGCAAATTTCAGTCATCTGTTCCAGCGTCAGGACTTCTGGGGTCGATTTGCTCGTGTCTACCTCAGCCCGCCTCTGTCGATCAAGCCCAGCAGGATACGATCTCCGCGCACTGTGCAAGCCTCCAAGGTTATTTCCCATCTTTTCTTCTTCTGGTTTAACGGTTATATTCAGCTTTTGGAAGTGGAAATTTATTCTTTTATCACCAAAAAGGAAATTAATTTTTCCATTTTAGATGGCACGAGGTCTGTGCATTTTTGGTTTTGACATTATTATCTTTCAAAAAATTATTTGTCAGCTGGTTACAGAATTGTCTGAAAG